GAATTCTGGGAGTTGAAGTCCACATATCTTAAAGTTGCTAAGGTTGAGAAACACTGGCCTACAGAATTGGCTCTGGAAAGGTCTGTGCCATTCTATAGACAGATAATGTTTCTCTCCCTACTTTTCCTGCCTTTTATCCTGCTTTGCCAGTTAACTGTTTTGGTGTTTGCTGAGGTTTAATAAATAAACATCAGACTCCATCTTTGGCTAGCAGAACTGAGTGGCACGTGGGCTTGCTCTGATCTGGATCTAGGGATTGACTGGAAGCGGGTGGGCTGGATGCCAACGGAGCTGGAAATGACCCGTAGTCATTCTCCAGCAGGGTTCACATACCACCCTAAAGCCTATTTTGTTTAACCATGAGGCAATTAGTGGACAATTAGACAGTGTCTCAAGGACACAGGGTTGGAACTTAGCTAATACCACATTGCCTTTTCTGTTTCTACGGCCATAGCGTTATCCTTCTTCAGAGATGCCATCCCTTCCCTACGCAGTCTCTGTATTCTTCCTTTTGTCGACTATCTATAACCATGTTTTTTTCTGGAGCAGCTGCACAAATCTTCCGCATTCCATCATTTTTGCCAGGTGGAGCTGCCTGCACCTAAACTTCACTGATTTCCCCACCTGGAAAAGCGCTTGTTTTATGTAGGAGAGGCTTCAAGGGTAGCATTTCTAAGGATGGTGGGTGAGGTTGCAATTATTCAAAAAGCTACGGTTCCAAAAGATCACTGTTATTTTCACTTCCCTTCTGCCCAATGATGCCAACATCATATATCCAAATTTAGGTACATTGGCTGATTTCATGTCTAAGGCAGTTTTATTCTTTTTGTGTTGGGTGGTGTACAAACTCAACCAATTTTGGCTTATTCAACATACTATGAATAAGCCCAGCATGGCATAGTTCAAGGTGTAAATCCAGCAGTTGACATGGTTGCTAAGCATGAAAAGTTGTTGCTTGTTATCAAGGAATTTATACAAAGTTGAAACTAAGATTTGCCTTTAGTAACACACTCTTTAGTGCATTCCCAAGTCCAGCTCGGTTAAACCTTTAAATATAACAGATCTGTTGTCCCTCCACCTACCAGAAGGTTTTGATTCGCTTTGAGAAAGAGCGTTGTAGCATAGAGGCCATGCGAATTTTGTCAGGAAAGCAGCGCATGTGGCTTTGAAGCCTCTCCATGTTTCTTATCTCTGCTACTTGCGAAGGCTTCTCGGCAGCTGCTTGCAGAGCTGTTCGCTTTGTTTTAGGAGCCTAGGGGGACTCATTTGCCTTGGAGAACAGCTTCAAGAGGGGGCTTGGTTGGAACCACTTCAGAGATTTGCACAGGCCCACCAATCTCCTGCACTTATCTCTCGGTGCACAGTCGCCTGCTTCTCCACTTTGCTCAGACCACAAAATGAATGAAATCTGCTGGAGAAAAATAGATGGTTTGGTTCTAATCTCAGCAAAAGGCTGGATTTGCCTATCACTCTAAGTCATGGTTTGTTAACCATGGTTTGTTGAATAACATTAGCACAACAGCGAGCTGAGTTCATGCAGGATCCTAAGCCAAATGCAAGGAAACCCCATTATGGCTGCACATGTAGGACTCAGGAACTCAGCTGGTGGGAGGGAGGGAGGGAAGGGTCGATTTAAGCATATTAATTGATTTTGGAAAAGAAAATGGATGGAAGGGAAAAAGGATCTGACTGCTGATTTAATTACACTGACAGTGCAGTGGCGAATGATGGATTATTCCCCAAGCCCACGCTCAGCTCATTTTCTGCACATTGCTGGGGACAGAAGCAACTCCCTGTATCGATGTGAAGCCTACAACTTTGCTGTTGAATTAGAAGCACATATAAATGGGCCTCTTTAGCAGTATGGTACTCCCCACTGGGAAGCAGGGCTCCGTGAAACCGATTGAGGTAAATCTTTTTGCCCATGAGGACTGGGCACTTGTGATATTATTACCGGCTCAGAAGGACGATTCTGCCAGAAATAGATCATTAGGAGGAAATAGAAATTGTTCCGGGGGACTCCATTAGCGCTTTCTCTGCATGCTTCATTAATTCCCACAGCAAGCCTGTAATTGGCATGTTGGCGGTTGTTTTGTGTTGCTAATTCTGGGGAAGCCACAGGAGGGTGTGTGTCAGGGTAACACGGCTTAGCAGCTTCTTTCCCCACCTGAAACTGTGAAATTCCAGGTGGGAAGCTGTGTGGGTGAAAATCTCTCCCTCTCTCTCTCTCTCTCTCTCTCTCTCTCTCACACACACACACACACACACTGGTGATTAAATCTGGTAAGTCTGGAAGAAAATAAGAAAGTTGGTTGGTTGGTTTCAGCTTTACATCTCAATAGGTTAGGGGCAGAATTTATGGGATAAATACATTGCACCCCCCTCAGACCTGTCTGATCATTATATTTTCCATTTCAATTGGCATTGAAATGTTTGTGATTTACAGATGTAACTTAAAGAATTCAGGATTTGAATCTCAACTGAAGCAGAAAACAGTTGCAACTTTCTTGGCGACTTGACTTCATGGGACACCCAAGTCTTTTTTTACTGATAGTTTTTAATCAGTGGTTGTATGGACAGCAGAGGATCCAGGCACTTCCCAAGATGGCGAGTTTGGGTGCTGCGGTCAAAAATTAGAGACAAAGCGGTCTTCCATTCTGTAGCCTTAAGCTGCCTCAACACTGGGCTTACATCTCCACCCTCCACTTTGTCTGCTTTGACTGCAGTGGTGGTCCAATGTTCCTTTCCACCCTTTTCGCCACAGCCCCAGAAAGATGGATTCCTCTGTAGCTTCGCCCCCTCCAGCAGGGCCCCCATCACTTTCTGTTCACGGCCCAGTCTTTGAGGGCACGTGGTTTCCATTAGGTATGAGCCCCCTTGCTTGACTCTCCCTCATCCTTGACACCTTCCTGTCTGGGTGCATCCCCTAGGGGACCAATAAAAAGTCAGCAAAGTGCATTTTCTCAGTCACTTGGGCTAGAAGGGGAAATTGGCAGAACCCTGGTCAATTTCTCCTAGCTAAAAAAATGGAGGGGGGTCCCAGCTTTTCACCTTTCCAGTGGCAAAGTTGTTAAAAAGGGGACTGGGCAGCACATCCAGTGACTGGAGGGGAGAGGCATTCCTGCCAGCTCAGTGGCCAAGGGGAGGGGAAGGTTTTGCCTGCCACAGTGACTGAGCTGGTGCAAGTTGGAAAATGCCCCTTTTGGTGTGTAGCAGGACCAGAAGGGGATGGCTGCCTTCCCAGGGGGCTGGTGGAGGAGGACATCCTGCATTCCCACCCTCCAGAAACCATCAGTAGCCCGTATGCTGGTGCTGGGGCAAGCTGGTTATGGGAATTAGCCCCCAAGGACAACAGCTATCAATAGCAGAGTCTTGCTTGGTTGCTTGGTTAGAGCTTCCCTCTGACACTGTTCAGTCCAAGAACCTCGTGCTTCACGGATGTCCAGGCTCCTCTAAGGATGCTCCTCACTCAAGCTTTTCCATCTGAGTAGCTGAGTGGCCTGTAACCGGGTAAAGAAAAGACACCCAGCAACAGTTAGGAAAAAATTACACTAATAGGCTTAGGAATAGTTAAAGATCATAATACCTTCATTTAAGAAAATGGCATTTAAAAAGAAAATGCTTGTTAAAAATAGCATTACAGGCTTTCTTGTGGAATAAGGATTCCACCCCCAATGAGTAGAGAAGGCTAAGAGTAAATACAGCAAGGATGGGTGGATCAGTCCTGCAGAGCAGATACCGGCACTGGGATGATTATGGTACTTGTAAGCAAGCAGAGCACAATGTGTCCATTGCTCACTGCTTTTAATGTATGCTTTTGCCTGATATGATCAAATATTAAATTTTTTGCACACACAAAGGTCCTTTGCACCCTATACGGCCTTTTAAAAAGCCAACTGGTCACTTCCCCCTCCTAGAATACCCTGGCATGATACTAATTTCTTACTTAGGTTTCCTTGCACGTAACCCGTCTGCTTAGAGATGACGGAGAAGG